CCCCCCCCTGCAAGAATCTAGACTATCAGCTGTCACAGTTTATCACTGATATCACGTTTTCTGCTAGTACGACCTTGCCCTTGTTGCCGTCCTGGTTGTTTACAACTTAACCTAATTTTGCTGCTTTGATCGGGTGACAATTTCGAAGAACTTTAGATAACCTGGATTAAACTATGTGTGTGCACAACTGCATAGATAGCAACTGCAGCGTGGGAGCCGTCGACTGTGGGGGTGTGGGGCACTGTGCCTACTTCTGCCGGTAAAATCAGTTAGGTCCCTTAGTATAAAAATTTGGCATTTCATTCAACTTAAAGATAAATGATATCTCATATGCTTAGAGTGGTATGATAGTTCTAGCTTATTTATGCTTATTCTGAAGAAAAAAATTAAACAAAACTATTTAGGCCACACTTTTTTTATTTTTATGGATGACATCCTGCGCGCGCACCGATTTTCGTCCGTTCTCCGAAAAAAAAAATCCAGCCCCCAACGAAGTCGGTTGTCGCAAACGTCGTTATTGAATTTGCCCGAAAATGAGCTTTCTGTGCATGCGTATTATCGCCACGTGGAAATATGGCCGCTTTGCCGTTAAATTCATCTCTATGATTCCTTTCAAATTACACGCCAATTAATCGTATGTAGTCATAAAGAGAACGGGGCCATCGTTTTGGATTGTTATGCCATTGATATTGGGCAGGGGGATGTCACCTTTTTTACAATTATGCGAAAGGCTGGCGGCGGCCAGAGATTCTCGCCCGGAAAATTTCAGTGACATTCTGTCCAAAGCAGAATATACCAGGTTCTTTTGTAGCGAAAAAAGGGTCGACAAGGGCGTCGAGGTATTTAGTGGGCTGAAGGTCGGTCAGGCCACTAGACAGTTTGGCTGCTTCGTGTGAATCGTAGTAGACCCAAAGGCATCGACCGAAATGACTTTCTATAGATTTGGTAGTACATGTATTAAGCATATCTTTGCATAATTTTTTAAACATTTCTGTGAAGTCTTCATAATGCTTTAATATTTTGAGAGTACAAATAAAGACACACTGTTTGTTTGATATTTGTTTTATTGATTGCTTTGCCAACAAAATGCATGAAATAACCTTAAATAGATTTGGGAATATGCAGCATATCAATTCATGACTTTTTTTTACCTTTCTACGTATACAAAAAGATTTAATATTTTGAGAGCACGGATAAAGATATATTGTTAGTTTGATGCGTGTTTCTGTGGTATATTTGTGTTTCCAGCTGTGTACTGACAGCATTCCTTTACTTAAGCAGTATTTTTGGATTTTTTTTTCGTCCTCTCGCACCGATTTTGGGGTCCCCAGAGGATGTCATTCATAAAAATAAAAAACGAGTGGCTTAAAGTTGCCACGTACAAGAAGAAGAAGTCCAACATAATAACTGAAACAGATGCAATTATAGGGACAAGAAAGTTAATTTTGTTTTTACAAGTTAAAATGATGCTCTTCATGAAGATAATTTGGTGATAATTTCTTTTGAAGTGCCAATTAAGGGTTAATTTGCTCTCCATCGCTCTCTCTCGTTTCAGAAAACGAGTATTGTGAATGTACCAATATACAGAAAGTTTAGGATTAAAATTATAATGCTTATATGTGCTTTGTCAGTGAAACTGAAGTCTGTGAAATAATAAGTTAAACTGGTATTTTTCCACGGTTACCTATCTGGTTGAAACTGGTTCATTTATCTCTGTAAGCTAACTGAGGTTTAATATTGTTTGCACAAGCAGTCTCAAGAGGGAAAAACAGACTCGTTCTCCAGCGCGATTCTTGTTTACTTTAAAAAGCATCATTTTAGATTTATTGACCGATCTTTATAAACAGCCGAACGTGGCATGCAAGACTGTTGGACATCACCTACATGAATCACAGTTCCTTGCTGATATTACATGCTCCCTGTTAGTACAATCTTATAATAAAAATAATAATAATAATATTTATTTCTTAAAACCGCACTACACTACCGTCTCAGTGCTGTTTACGAATAAAATTATCAGGATTAGAACTAATTTTATAGATAATAAAAGCTAAGGTAATAAAATTAAAATGATTAATTCAGGTTAAAATAGTAGTGGTTTGAACAATAAAAACTTTTTCTAATAAAATGAAAGAATATACAGTTTCTAGTATTAAATTTTAATTAAAATGTACTGTGCAAATAAAAATGTTTTCAAGTCTTTTTTTAAAACCTTAACACTGTCGATAGTCCGAATATGTGAGGGTAGTTCATTCCATAAAATTGGTCCTGCAATTGAGAATGCCCTGTAGGTGTTGGTTCTTTTTTATTGTCATTCCTGGTAAAAAAGAAAGTGGATGTGGATCTGGTAGACCTGGTAAGACTGGCTGAACTTGGATGTAGCATAGATTTAGAATATGAGGGGCATTCACCTCTGGTGAATTTAAAAACAAACAGCAGCAATTTAAAAACAATTACTTGTCGTACGGGAAGCCTATGTAGTTCGAATAAAATGGGTGAAATGTTTGATCTGAGAGGGGTTTTGGTCAGTAGTCGTGCTGCAGCATTTTGGACAGATTGCAGTTTTTCAATTTGGTAGGTAGGAAGACCATACAGTAGACTGTTTCCGAAGTGAAGTTGTGAAGTTATGAAGGCATGGACAAGCCTCTCCATTAGACCTTTGTCAAGGATATGGGATAGTTTGGAGATTTTTTAAGACCATAGAAGGCAGCTTTGCATTTTTTACTGATATCAGCGGCCATATCGCACCTATTATCAAAATTATTCCAAGGTTTTTAACCTCGTCTTTTACCGTAACTGTACTGTTTCCGATTTCTAATAGTTCTAGTTTTTCTGCATCCCTAGAAAAACGAGGGGTAAAGTGAACTACTTCTGTTTTGCCATCATTGAAAAGAAGTGAATTGGCATTAAGCCATTGACTCAACTGACTAATACATTTCTGGATCATTCTTTCACTCACTATTTTATTATCAAACTTTTAAATATTTCCAATATATTTTTTCATAAAGTATCCTAAAAGGAAAGGTGTTGAAATGATCATCAAATATTAAATAGATACCTTTTTCACAGGGGAGACAATGGGCGGTAAAGTGCAAATTTTTAATTTTCTTTTTCATGAAAATTTTCACCTGCAAACTACAAAAAAGTGCCAATGTATCCTCCATTTTACATACTACAAGATCACAGTCATATACTCTAAATAAAAAAAGATTTATGAAGTTTTGTGGAGGGGGAGTCAGATTTTCATGTTACACCAGTGCAAACATACCATGCACGACATTTAACAAGTAAATTCATTTTTTTTCTACTTTTGTTTTCCATTATAGGCCTAAATTTTAATAGAAACCAGTAATCATTTAATTGACTCGATTTTGATTGTATATTTGTTTTGATGTATGATGGACACCCGTCTGTCCGCATGTAAATATCAAGGTTAATAATTGTTTCGCAATTGTCTTCCCCTCAAGCTTGATTCAATGTAAAGTTTACCATATCATTATATCAATTCCAATTGAATAACACAATATTTTTTCTTTTTCCTTGTAAATGATATTAGGTACTAACACTTTTAATAAGCCTAGGTTTTGGGAAATGTATAAAACGCCGCTAACTGAACATTTTTATCATTTATTTTTTAAAGTTTAACATATCATTTTATCAATTACAATAAAAGTTTTTGTTTAATTTTTTTCGCCCAATGCAATACTTTCAAGAAAGCCAAAACATTTTAATCAGCACTTAAAAATACTCATAAAAAATATATATTCCAAATTAAGAATTAAGTCTGTAAATTAGAATTTGTTGCAAATGGAACATAAAATGCCGTCATATACGAGGAGTCAAAATTTCATATTTTTATCCACACAAAGTGTCTGCGATGAATTTTCATACCAAGAATGCTTGCCGTCTTGCTCGAAATATTGCACTCCTATTTAATGTTTTTGTTAATGTGCTATGGTCTGTTTGTGCGACCTCCAGAAAATGTTAGAAAACATAAAACAGGAGTGCAAATGAATGAGATTCCGTGCTTATTAAAACAGATTGTTACTATGGGAAGTTGAATAATTGCTGACTTAGTCCCCGTTAATCTGAACATTTCTACCTCATGAAATCTTATCATGCGCGTTTGAACACTAAAAGTCTCTTGGTTCTCTATAGTAGGTTCACAAATGAGGAATATGATGTAATGCATGATGATTAGCTTAACATTTGTTACTCCCTTTAACTATAGATAAGCATCCACGAGGCATTTCTGTTTGAACCGGAATAGAGAACCTCCTTATTCGCGATTTTACAGTATACACCAGTACAGAGCAGCTTCACGACCTTGGATTGATTGATAAAATTATTTTTTTAACTGATATTAAAATAAATATAATATAAATAGCAGGTAAAAGTTTTTCCATCCGTTTCTTTATTCACCATGTCCACGAAATATATAGTAGCTCTGTTTCTCGAAATGTAAGTCTTATTTTGTATTGAACCGTTAATCATATTACATACATATTGTAGTTTGAATGTATATTTTATTGGCGTCCGTGAAAACAAAGTCATTTTGAACCGCTGGATAAGAGTATCAGCGACGAAAAAATATTCATCGCTTGTGATACAGCTAAATTTATATGTTAACGGTCTAGAGGACAATTTCTGCTTATCCATACTTTAGTACTTCACGGTGTTGATGGAAATGTGGCCTTTTGGATTATGAAATTAGAGTATCAATCACCGATATTTAAGAAATATAGAAATATTCTATATGGGTGCATGTAATCGACGACCTCGATTTGGAAAAAGTTTGTGAGTTCAGGTGTGAAAAAAAAGCAGACATCCATTTAGAATGTACACATTGTAACATCAATATTAAATTGAAGTTTGAATGGAAGCATAATTAATAAAACATGCTCGTTTTAAGTTAATACTTATTGAAACATATCAGAAATATATATGATTTAAGTACTGAATTATGAGAATTTGAATATGACTTAGTCTTTACATTCCAGATGAGGCAGGAAAGCGCGTCTTAGTGACAAGTACCATGGCAACAGCAAAAGCATACACCGATTCAGACCAGGATAATTTCTTCCGCATGAGCATTCTCATTGTAGATTATGCCCTGAAAGTAGTGCAAGATGTTCTCCAGAAAGAGCTAAGAAAAAAGTATCCGAATTTATTTGATCCCAGCACGGGGTTGTTGCACAAGGTACTTGGTGATAAAACTGTCTGGACCTTACTGCTTGGATTATCACCGAAAATCTTTAATCACCACCAGCGAAAGCAGCTGTATCCTGCTGGAAATCCCTCCACATCAGTAACTGTTGGTGATTTAGACCTCACACTGACTGTGCTTTTGCTGAGAAACATCACAACATTGAACAACAAGTCCAAAGCATGGGACAACCCCTCTGACACAGATGTTTCAAGAGAAGCCAAGATTGGGCGAGTTAAACGATATCGAAATATTGTGTATGGTCATGCAAACACAGCAGCGATCAGTGACCAAGATTTCAGGGCACATTTTTCAGGGTTAAAATCCAATCTCTTGGTTCTCTCTAGTAGGTTCACAAATGAGGATTATGATGCCATCTTGTCTAAACCTCTCGATGCTGCTTTACTGGCGAGAAACCAGAACATTCTTAAAGAATGGTACTATTATGACAAAGATGTGAAAGATGAGTTGATGAGTCTGAAAGCTACAATGGAGGAAATCCCAAAACTTGGGTGCCGAATAGAACAGGTTCAAAGAAAAAGTGAACAAACTGTTCTAAGAGAGATGAGAAGTGAAACAAAGAGTACACATGATAAACTCCAGAAAATCGTTCAGATGACAGAAGGTACGTGGATTTTTTTGCTTTAATATGTTTGAAATCTTCGCACTCAATACTTTATACACAATTAAATGCCTTTGTGGCCCACATTTTATTTGAAGCATTGAAAGAAATGAAAGGTTTATTACTAAAAGTAAGAAAAAATACTAAAAAATTATTCATTGATTTCTAATGCTCAAGCTAGACACCCCGTTGTACTTTGTTTACAGAAATTCAGGAAAAAGTTCAAGTGATTTATGACAAGAATCGAGACAGACCAGGACGTCGGAAAATGACAGGTAATATGCTCTAATTAACACCGAGAGCAAAGGAGCTTATACATCAATATATAGGGATATACCTTATGTACTAATGATTGACATACCGGGTAGATTAGCATTATAGTTTATTTCATTTCATTCTCATCCCACTTTTTTGTTATACATGTACATAAAGACAACAACGTAATTGTATTCTTATGAAATGAATCTAAGAAATAAGTTTTGTTAACAAAATAATGATTAATTTTTCTACATTTGGGGTAATGAAATATTTGCTGCTATAATTGATTATTTAATCTTCTTCCAAAGTACCAAGTTGTGTATTTCTTTCAAACAGTGATGTCAGACACGCAAGAGGACCCTGCTGTATATTCATCCCAACTTTTTAATCCTTCATCGTCAACAGAAAAGGAAATTCCACAGACTACAGAGTCTAGTCCTACAAGTGTTGATGTGGGAACTGTTGCAGGTACATGTACAGTTCAATAATATATGTGCGCATGCTAGATATTCACAATATTCACAGTAATATAGATGTTTCCAGGATCTTTTTCAGAACATCTCTGTCTTCAATACAGTGATAGGAATGTCACAGTAGTATTTTGTACAATATTGATATAATAAGATGATATGTTATGGATTTCGCTTTATTGGTGCACGTTTTGAGACTACAGAATGTGTATGTTAAGATGCCAAATGAAAAAAAATGTAGGAGGACATGCGACCAACGTCAAAAATACATGTATTTTAGCAAGCTAAATTTACAGCTTTTCAAGTTGCTTTGCTCCTTGAGCAATTTTATTAACAAATCAATTAGCCCAACACTGACCAGTATCTGCATTAATTTAGACGACAAGATATTTAAAAATAATCATAGTAATCAATGCATAGTGTGCAAACTGTGGTTGTGTAATTACATTGATATGTTGTAGTTATTGTGGTCACAGAAAACCATCAGTTTGGAAAATGCCCTACATGTGTCGGGCTAAAATATCACTTCGCCTAGAGTGAAAAAATGTGTTCTGGACAAGTGATATATGTGTTGAGGTTAGTGCTCTTATTCACCTGAAACACAGGCAACAATGTTTTTTTTTTCTCTTGCAGCTAGCGGTATTCTTACAACCAAACCAGACACCTACTCTAAGGTACATTCATATTCTTTAGTTACCATGCTTTATACTTTAATTTTTTATAAAATGCTTACACGAATCTTTAGCCCTTAGAAATAACTACTTAAATATAGATATTTAAACATCTTAAACAATTGTCTGTGTCCATATTCTAATGAAATAACCTTTTGTACTTGATCATGATTCATTGATATATGATTATTGAAAAAATAATATTAGGTGTGGCGCACATTTGCCTATAACTCCGTACATGTTGATATCTGACTACACGTATTTGACTCGAATATATACACACGGGCAGGGGAAGTGGTAAATAATGTAGGAATTATTATTATCAGAAGTGCATTTTTAATTCCTGATATCAGCTGAAATATATTTTGGATTTATCTCAATTTTGCAGGCACCTGTAATGAGTCCGACACACAAAAACCTCTTGGTACAAATGGGTCCCGAGCTAATAAAAGATCTCCAAGTTGAAGACATTGTCCCAGACATGGTGGACAGAGGAATCATCAGTGAACGTAATGCAAAAAAGGTACTGGCACACAAAGCAGAAAATGATCAAGCTTTTGAATTTCTTCGTATTCTACCAAAATGTGGTCCTCGTGCATTTGAAACATTTGTTGATGTTTTGAGAAAACACAATAAGAAAGAACTTGCAGATTTGTTAGCAGAAAAAGCGACTGCTTGCAGTAGTAAAAACCAAATAGCGTCTTTCTACATTAAATACATGAGTCAAATACAGCGTCTTCCCTGGGACCCCGACGACACAATGCACTTAGATGACGTCTATGTTAACCTGCAGTGGGTACAAGAGGAAAGGAAACCAGCAGGTACCAGTTCTGATCCAATCCAGAGCTATACATCAATATTTAAAGATACCAAACAAGGTACGAGACCAAAAAGGATATTTGTCCGAGGAAAAGCAGGCATCGGCAAAACCACATTTACACAGAAGATGGCAACAGACTGGGCAAATGATACATTGGGTTTAAAGGAATGTGACCGGGCACTTTCAAATTATAAACATCTTTTAATTATAAATCTACGCAATATTCGACATAGCCAAACACTGAAGGGAGCAATTGAAAAACAAATTTCTCCTTCTAATCAAAATAAGAAAGAAGTGGTAGATGAAATAGTACATGCTCTGGACTATGACAGTGACCATGTGCTAATGGTCTTTGACGGCTATGATGAGTACGATCCCAAGACTTCTGAAGAAATAACCGACATCATTTATTGCAAACAATACCAGAATGTATGTACCATCATCACAACACGCCCATGGAAGGCAGAAGAATTGATGAAGAAACAAATACCAGACAGTGTGTATGAAATTACCGGTCTGACAGGTGACAACATACGTGAATATGTTGCTAAATTCTTTGATGAAAACATGGAATGTTATGATCTTTTTGAATGGGAGTTTGATGATAGTTTCGATTCTGAGTTTCTGGATGTGTCAGAGTCAATAGGGAATGGTCTCTTACATTACATAATGAGAAAGAAGCTGGAGTCGTTGGTAAAGATCCCAATACTTTTACTGTTCTTTTGTCTTATGTGGCAAGAAGATCAACAAAGTGATGCCAAGACAGATTCACTCCCAATTTCATACACACTGCTATACAAGACACTTATACAAATGCTTTTAAGACGAAGATACGACATCAGGACAAAGGATGAAACAGAAGAATCTATTGGACAATTTGAAGAAACTTTTATCGGCCTTGGCAAGCTGGCTTACGATGGACTCGTTAAGCCAGATGGGGGTCTCATATTTAATGAAAAAGACCTACAGGCAATTCCAAATATCAGCGAATTGTACAGTTTAGGTCTCCTCAGCAAGTCTAAGGTACACAGTAACCTTGATGTTAAACAGGAGGTAACATTTCCACACAAAACCATCCAGGAGTTTTTTGCGGCAAAATACTTGGCGAGGAAATTAGACCAAAATGAAAATTTTAGATCAGTTTTTGGAAAACTTAAACACCACTGACAAACTCTATGACATGAGCTTTGTGTTGCGCTTTTTGTGTGGGTTATCAAAGAAAGCAACTACCAAAGTGCTACGCAGAGGTAAAGGTCTTCACAACAAAGATAAAAAACGAAATTATATATATAGGTACATGGGCCATGACTATGTCTTTGATGGCAAGTGTAGAAATTGGTGTAATGATCTCCTCCTAGAACACTGGTACGCCAACTGTCCCCAGGAAACAGTGCTGCCCCCTGAGCTTTTCTCCTGGCTCACAGAACTTAATATACCTAAATCATTTCAGCACTCTGATCCCAGATTCCAGCAGGTTTTGCGGGACAGTATGTGCAGTCCAAAGGTATGTTCTGGTTTGAGTGCCGTCATCGTTGATAGTGATGACGAAGTGTATACTGATAGACGTGAAGCATATCACAATGCATTATCTTTACTCAGTGAGCGTGACATGTTCCGTGAACTAGTAGCGGTATTGTGGAAGGATGTATGTAGCATTTGTTATGACTGCAGATGTGCCTTAAAGCATGTTTTATCTAAAGCTCCTAATCTTCAAAGACTTGACATAGCTGGAAAATGTAGTGGAGCACTATCATCAATACCAAACCCTGGAAAACTGTTACATCTGGATGTCGAAGACATAAATGTTCAAGACTGCCAGGTGATCCAACAGTTGGTACACTTGGAGTACATTCGTGTAACTAAGGATTTAGGTGTAGGATCAATAATGCCAAGAGCCCTACGTCCTCAACTGGGGGAAATACCTAATACCAGTCATGATTTGACTCACATAGATATTAGATGTACCCCTCTTAGTGCCGTGGGTGTACAACTTCTGGGGAGGAACCTTCACCATGTGCCAGGTCTGGAACATCTGAAACTGCACTGTGTATTCGTGTGGGGAGCCAGGTGTACATGTCCTGGGTGTGAAGACACGACAGACTATGACAGATGTCAGGATGTCTGTGAAGCCGTGAGTGAACTGAGCCAAGGTGTGATATACACCACTAAACTTACAAACTTCTCATTCAGTGACAATTACTTGGGTCTGTACCACGGTATCACCAGTCCATTGATAGCATTGATACAATCTCTCAGTACAGTGTCAGAGCAGACTGGAATGAAGATTTACATGTGGAATAATGACCTGGACAGAGTTGACCGCCTCAGTGAGCTGATAGAAGCCATTGTCAGCTCTTACCAGCATGTATCATCTTGGAACCTTTGGCATAATAACCTTGAAAAGATTCTCCCAACGCCAGACGACAGTCTTAATTGTCAAGTGTCACATAATATGTTTTAAGCATAAAGCTTCTAAGTGGAAACCTGAACATATGTGTTGTGTCTCGCTCAGATATGAAGTTTATTTCTAGATGCGACTGCTGTGGTACAGTTCTGATATTTTCATCACCGAGCAATGCTAAAGCATGCCTTGGTCTACCAGTGTTTCAGTATTCAATATTTATGCATGTTACCCAGACACTGATAGTGTGGACATATTACGAGTATTCAGATGTTACATTATATCTGTTACATTGTATCTTATTGCCAGCCTTCAACATCTACTGGTATAGTGCATTCCAAATCATTGTGTGAATATAAAATTTACAATTGTAAATAACTGATACATTGTTTTTTCCTTTCAATAACCAACTGTACATATTGCTCTGGACCATTGCATGTCAAGACACATGTTGGTTATGATATATATTTTGACTCATTTATACATGTATAAACACATAGCCTTATTTGGATATGAAATGGTTTGCTGATTGTAGTACTGTACATGTTTTTCATCCAATATTTTTTCTCATTACACATATATTTACATTATACACACACGTGCATTGGCTAAGTGTATGTGAAAATATTATGTACTTAAATGTATGTACAGGTATATCGATGCATAAGGTGGGTTTTTATTAAGACATTAAATAGCTTACGGGGTAGTTGTTGACTTGGCATACAGCATTTCATGAAACTTTAATGTCTTTGTGAAAAATAAAGTGTAAATCTGTATATCACGATGTGTGTTCAAGTTGGATGGGTGAAATGTACGGACAATATATAACTTGCTTTTTGCACATTTAAAATATAACGTCATGTGTTTGGCATATTACGTGGGTTCAGTATTTTAGAACTTTTCTCATAAATAGCTTTTAATACATATTAACACACATTGCTTGGAGAAAGTGTAGAATTAAAATTAAAGGGATAATAACTCTTCGTATGATACCTTTATTTCACAATAAAAACATTGTGAACAACTCATAGAAATATAATATATTCTGTTTAACACAAAAACGGCAGTTATAGCTATTATTCTGATATCTGAGTTTGTCTTCAGATCACGTGATCTCCATTGATGGCTGTACTCAGTTATTATCTCTTAAGAGGCTTTAACAAAAAATAACTTTTAAGAAAAAAACAGGGACTAACTTTGAATGTAAAAATGGATCCATCAACTATTGGTTAGTATGGGAAATTTGTCGTTTACTCCTGGAATTTTTTTTTTTTTTTTTTTTTTTTTTTTGCCAAAACGAAGATTTATTATCCCTTTTAGCGTTTTTATGAGATTTAATCTGCACATTATCTAGTTGTTGCTTATACAGGTATTAAACTTGAAGGTAATGATGTTTTTTAGTTATTGTTGAAAATTGAAGTTTTGTGAGACAAATTCCAGTTGTGAAGATTAACATAAGAAGTCTTATAATGACTTCCTATATTTTTGTCATGAATGATCATAAAAGATCCCACGAATTGTAATAGTGCTGTGAAGAAAAAATAAACTGACGACTGGTCAAAGCGGTGATTTAAACTATTCATGAAGTCCACGGTACAAAGTAATGCCGTCGAAATTCGAGGCCCCCACCCCAAAAAGAAAAGCCCTTTAAAATCAAAATCCTGCAGCAAGCAATAAAGAAAGTCTGTTCAATTCAAGACAATCATATAAAAAACCATCTCATGACCATTATAAATGCAATGGAAAATCCGTTATATAGTTTTTCCACATACCACATTTTACTACAGTGCAACAACATTATTTATTATAACTGTGTCATACGCAAAATTGCCGTGATCATTACGTAGATATCATATATATATCGTATGGTTAATACAAAATACATAAAAACTTAACTATAAATCTTTACAGGTGCCAGCCATGTGTAGGTTATACTGCTTTATTGACGTCTCTTCCCGGCATATATTTAAAACATACACTTGAGAATAAAATCAAATCATCCAACAAAATTTGTCAAAGCCATGCTCGACCACATGCAACAATCCGATAACAATCATGGCGATTTTCTATGGAAATCTGTCAACTACACATAAAACACAGGCATTACTGTATTACATATCTTTGTATAACTGATTAAAATGAAACAGATCGATGCACAGGCATTACTGTATTACATATCTTTGTATAACTGATTAAAATGAAACAGATCGATGCACAGTTTCGTTGCATTAAAGAAATACTCTCATAATTCAAAACGTCAAATATCATTTGTTTTTCCTGCTGATGATTAAGTTCCCGGAGCATGGGAGGTGATGAGGGTGTCATCTTCTAACTGAAAATAAATAAATAAATAAATAAATAAGTATCTGCCATTTTTAGTTATATGTTTTCGTTAACTAACATGATGCACTGACGGCTCCCTGAGTCAAAATAAAAAGGAGTCAGGTAGGGTTTAGAAAGATTTGGGAGTGAAAGATATCGTTTATATGCTAGATTCCAAGGGAGGTGAAAACTTCTACACCCAGTCTGTATCAGGGGGGAAACGTGCCAGACATTGTGCCATCTGTTGTAAACTGCAATGAGACGCTGAGACGCAGTGAATATAGTGAGACACATGAGCCCCCGCCTGTCTCTCCCCCTCCACACATACATACAGGTACAGAATTGTCATATTGTTTACAATACCTTCTGTAGCTCGGTTGTCAGTACAGCAAGTACTGCGTCGTGGACCGTAAAATAGATGGCGTCTCCGTCTTGGTCACCGAGGAATACATTTTTCTGGACTGTCTCAGTAAACTCATCTAGAAGACAGACAGAAGACAGAAACAATCAGAATTCTCAATGTCAACTTACAACATTAATAATTAATATTGACGTTAATTTTCACCTTTGTATGAATCACTTTCATATAAAAAGCTGAGCTTACATTATAAGAACCAATAATCTGCTCTTCAAATACTGTCAGATTATTAGTAAATTTTCTTGGAGAATCCAAGTCTCTCTAGGAATTTTAAATTATAGATTGAAATATAGATTAAAGAAAATAGGTTTATTGCTTTCTAAATTTTCTACGAGTTCGTGTAGCACAGTACACCCCAGTGTTGTAACAAACCTCTGCAATGCGCAAAAACAACTTCAACTCCAACTTCTTTGTAATCACATACAATCTGAAATGAAATTAACAATAATTGAATCGTATTAACTTCCCGCTTATTTTCTTATTTTAGCTAATTGATCCGTTTTATGAAAGATTGAAAGGGTCAGTATGATAAATGTAATAATAAAAAACAATGGCACGAGTAAAACATGTAATTAAAAACACTGTTAGGTATAGAAGTGGAAATATTATCATATACCAAAATGAAAGGACAGTATCATTTCGAGCATGATATGCAATTTTGCTTCAATCAAACCTGTCGTATTTAACAAAGGACAGAGAGAGAGAGAGGGAGAGAAAGGAGAGGAGCAGTGACTTTTACCTGTTTCAGAGCCTGGATACCAACAGCGTCTGCAAAACCTATGGCGGAACAGTCAACTATGATATGATGTATAGCGAGCTGAGGTGGAAGCTCTTCTGAGGGTAATTTCTCATCAGGTAGGACGTCCTCCATGTGGAGACTAAGTACTTCTTTGGATAGGCCTATCATACCTCTGTTACTTATACCGTTCACTTCTGTAGTCTTCTTTATTGTGGTAGGAATGCACTGAATGAATAACAACTCTTAGTAGAAAAAAAAATTCTAAAGAGTTAATGCTGGTCTAATAATGTAT